AAATTTATGGTTTTTCCATCATTTTTCCCTTTCGGGGCCAGGATTTAAGGGATGACTGAAGCAGGCATTGGGTCTTGTCTGTTATTTGCCTTTTGATATTTTGTTCAGCACAGCTTGTATTACATTATTATTAATGTGCTGTGGTCCAATTTTGTTGCTATAACTGAATACAGACTGAGCAGTTTGTAAGGAATACAGGTTTATTAATTCAGGGTTCTGGAGGCTGGGAGGCCCAAAGTCAGCTGGTGGGGACTCTGCAGAGTGCTGAGGCCACACTGACTGCACATCCAAAAGAGCCAAACTGGCCTGTATAACAGGCCTACTCTCAAGATAACTCATTAACCCTTTCATGCACTGACCCATTAATTAATAAATGGATTAATTCATTCATGAAGGCAGAACCGTTTGACCCCATACCTCTTAAATGTTTTATATGGTCCAACTTTTAATACTTCATGGTGAGGATTAAATTTCAGCATGAGATTTGATGGAGACATTAAAGCCATAGCATTCCCTAATTATTTATCCTGATTCCAGAGTCTTTTGGTGTCCCCTTAAATTTCATGTTTCCTTCTTACTTTTTATCATTTTCACAGCATCTTAAAAATCTGAAAAGAGAAAGAAAGGAAAGAAACTGAGTGGCTTATGAGAAAGTAGTACCCCTCACTCTGGGGGTCTCTAGTTAAGCTGAGAACATGTGACTACTGCCAAAATGGAGCATTTATATATTCTGAGAACTCTTTTATATATTCTGTGTACATCTCCTTTTTGATATCTGTGGTTTGCAAATATTTACTCCTGGTGTGTAGCTTATCTTTTCAACCTCTTAATAGGGTCTCTTGCCAAACAAATGTTTATATCAAATTTTTTTTTTTTTTTTTTTTTTTTTATGGATCATGCTTTTTGGTGTCATGTCTGAGAACTCTGTACCAAACTCTAGGTCTGGATTTTTTTTTCTCTTTATCTTCTAAAATTTTTGTCATCTTGCATTTTAGATTTAGTTCTGTAAACCATTTTTAGTTAACTTTCGTATGAGGTAGGATAAATGTTCATTATTTTTGGCCTGTAATGTCCAGTTAGTTTTTCAGCACCATTTGTTGAAAAGATACTTCTTAATTTCAAGGCATGTTATAGCTGTCATAATAGCTTTGTTTTTTCTTTGTTTTTAATAAGTGTCAGTAACTGCTTATGGTATGTATACACAATGGAATACTATTCAGTATTTGAAAAGAAGGAAATCCTGTTATTTGTGACAACATGAATGAACCTAGAGGACATTATGTTGAGTGAAATAAGCCAGGTACAGAGAGACAAATACTGCCTCATCTCCCTCAAATGTAAAATCTGTAAAAGTAGAACCCATAGAAGCAGAAAGTAAAAGGGTGGTTACCAGGGACCAAGGACAGGGGAAGGGAGGTGGGATTGAGAAGATGTTGGTCAAAGGACACAAACTTTTAAGTTAATAGAAGAAACAAGTTCAAGTGATCTAATATACATCATGAGGACTGCAGTTAATAACAAAGTATTGAGTATTTGAAAATTGCTAATAGAGTTTAGATAAATATTTTCAGTCCTCCCTAAAAATATAAAGATAAGTATGTGTTATTACATACTTGCAAATTAACATATGCATTATGTTATATTAATAACATATTAATTAGCTTGATTTAGCCATTCCACATATATCAGAACATCATATTTCATACCATAAATATATATAATTTTTATTTCTCAATTTAAAAAATAAAATCAGATAAAATAAATGGATGAGGTAAGAACAAATATGGGACATTCGTCCCTGCTGAACTAAGACCCAGAAGTGACCTAGTAACGTCAATCATCATCAGGAGATTGAATGCCAGTAATAACAATAAAGCTTCCCCCTTAGCCATTGCACACTAGAAAACAGGCCCTGCAAAATGTGCATGTCAGAGGTGGAAATCTCAGTCTTAGAATTTCAATACTTAAAAAGTAATACCTGCTTGCCACATCGATGCCAAACATTTTCACAGAATATTTCCTCATATAAAGCAACTTAGAATATTTCCTCATATAAAGCAACAACACTTTAATTTGAACAGAAAAGGTTTTGAAATGTACTTTTGGCAGTGCTCTGTGCAGATAGGGAATGGAAATGATTAACAGGGTGGTTATTGATTGTGGACTTTTGGTAGCAGAGCAATGTAATGTTTTGATGTTGTCTGTGCCTGGGACACATCCCCCCACCCTCATTATTGGATTCTGTGGACAGTGTCCCTCCTCATCCACTGAAAGCAGCAGCAGGAGAGTGCTTCTGCTGAGCAGGGTGATGTACATCTTTTTCTGGGTTATTCATCCTATTGAGACAAAGGAATCTTGTCTACCTTGATCCAGCTTTCCTCTTCCAGGATACATTGCCAACACCTGACAAAGACCAGGTCCTATAGAGCAATAAGGAGAATAAGAGTCCAAGACCTGTCCTCAGCCAACTGTGATCATGCAGAAGCAGGACCAGCTCCTTAATTCTGCTCCTTGCTGTTCCCATTGGTAAAGCAAGACTTCCTCTTCTATTCCCATGGCAAGCAGACAATTACTCAATTGCCCACAACTCTGGACTCAAAATGGCCAGTTCTACATAATTCCTCAGAACCCGAGAGAGCAAGAGTGGGCACAGAGATCATTTTGAAATAGTGGTTTTTTTTTAAAAAAAATTACAAGTTGTTTTCCTCCCTCCAGAACCCTCTGTGTATTCTAGTTTATTCTATAGGAGATTCCACAACCAGTCATAGGTTCACAAAGAGTTGGCGTGGAAAAGGATCAGTGGGATAATGCTAACGCTGTAGCTTTCAAATATCTTTGACCTTACTAAAGTAAAAAGTACATTTTAGTATCCTGACATATACTTAACATTAAGTTTCATGATTAAATAGTGCTTTCACAATCTTACTTTCACAATCTGATATCACTTTTTCTTTCTCTCTCTCTCTCTTATACGCTTCCATTTCTTTTTCTTTCTCTTTATAATGCTTCCCTCAACCCAGCAGTGTATCTCACAATTACTGGATGGATACCCACAGATGAGAATGCCAATCTAGTACATTTCACCTTTTACAAAATAGGAAATTCAGTCTTCTAGTGGATAAGTGATTTACCCTAAATTATACAAAATTATAAAGTTACAAAGTGGCAGAGTCGAGATTAGAAACTTTGCAATGTGTAAAGGAACTTGACCCATTCTTAATAAAAAATATATATATATACATATACATATATATATATATGTCATAGATAGACACAATACATTTATTTTATTTATTTATCTTTATATGGTGCTGAGGATTGAACCCAGGGCCTCACACATGCTAGGCAAGTGCTCTACCACTGAGCTACAATCTCAACCCTTGGCCCATTCTTGATTCCTCTTTGAACCTCAGCAGTCTATAGAACATGCATTATCTTACATTATTTCCTGTTTTCCTTTTCTCCTTCTGCACCCCACTCCCACCTCAGATTTCTTTCATAAGCATCTTTATTTTCCTTTTGGTTTCTTTGTCTGTTACCTCAAGTTACGGAAACAGTTTATTTCAAAATAAACTCTGTTGGTGGCATCCAAGAAATTGCTTAGATATGAAACCACTTATAAAAGCAGAACAGTGCAGAATCCTGGTTTGAGCATTTTTAAGACCTCAAACAAGGACTTCCTGTTTCATGAAGGATTATTGTCCAGGGTTTTCATTTTTGTCACCTGGTAACTACTAGTCCCTCAGACCACTTGTCCTTCTGCTCTGGACATCAGGATATCAGGGCCACCTGAGACCCTCTTTAGATGTCTTTGTGAGTAGGGGCTTTAGGGCAGTCATAGAACATCCTTCCCTAGGGTTGCTTTAACAAATGACCACAAATCCAGTGACTTCGAACAACAGAAAGTTCTAGAGGACAGAAATCCAAAATCAAGGGGTTGGAAGTGAAGTGTTCTCTCTGAAACCTGCAGGGAAGGCTCCTCTATCCTTTTGATAGTTGCTGGTGTCATCAGCAGCCCTGAGTAACCCTTGCCTTGTAATGCGTCACTCCCATTTCTGCCTCCATCCACACATGGGGTCCTCTTATATTGTCTCTGTGTCCTCACATAATGTTCTCCTCTCTGTGTATCTTGTCCAAAATTTTCTTCTTCTTATAAAGACACCAGATTTGGATTAGGGCCTGCCCTAGTCCCATATAACCTGATTGTAACTTGATTATTATCTTCAAAGACCCTATTTCCAAATAAGAGAGGTAACGGAAGTTAGGACTGGGATATGTCAAAGCAATTCAACTGACAATATAAAAATGAATGCACTCCTCCTTGGAGACTTTGACTGTAATAACCATTGTATTATCACTGCCATTGCTGATAGGCTGACGCATATGACCTCTAAAATGCATTTAAAACATTAGTTTCACATCCTTAATAGTCTCCAGGCAATAAGTAGCCATGACCTTCAGAAAAGGGCTTCCTTTGGATATTCTTCATGACTCACTCCTCTGTGGCCTCCCACAGTCCAGAGAGACGGTAGCAGATGCCTTATGTCAACAATCTAGACTCCTCTGATGAATGCCGTCTTGGGTGAGTGCATTATGACAAAAACACTAATAAGATCATAAAAACTGTCTGTAGTGTCACCCAAATAGCAATATGGTGAGACATACACACAGGCATGTGTAAAATCATTATTATAGTTTTAAGTTACTTTTAGTCTGAGAGGAGATCTTTGGTGAGTCTGTTGATGAAAGAGAATCTTTTTCTTCCAGAAAAAAAAAAATGCTACTTAATAGTCAAATTTGCTTTTTAAAAATAAGAGAACTAATATAATGTTTAAATATACTGTGAAGTTTTGGTGAAGTGAAACTCAACGTCTCTGTATATTATTTAGATGCATCAAAAGGTAATACACTGGGAAGATAAAAAATACAAGTTTTTGGAATCAAGATGAAGAAATTAGAATGCACAGGTGGGCAGAATCAGGGTTCTAAAACATGTCCCATCACGGTTGAAACAAAATTATGGAATTTATTAAAAATAACAAAGATACTGGGTGGAAGAAGGTGGATTTAACAAAGGCACCTATAAACATAGTTGATATTTAATTTATCATGATGAAATGTGAATGCAATCCATGATGTTGTATCTCATTGTTTCTGTGTGTCCGGAGTCTGGGTGTACCTGGGTTCTTGAGGTTCTTAGGAATTCAAAAGGCTGTCATCAAGATGTGTTCACACCTGGTGCTTTTAGTCCTCTTCCAAGCTCATTCACGTTGATGGTAGAATTCTTGAGGTAGTAGGACTGATGTCTGGCTCCTAGAGAACAACCCCTCTCCACAGGCAGTTCACAACATGGTCAATTGTTTCTTCACTGTCAGCAGCAAGTGTCTCTCTCCTGGAGAGCTCAGTTCATTGTTTATGATCCTTTACCTTTATCAAGTCAGGCCCATCCAGGATAATTCCCTTTTTTTTTCTTTACTCAAAACCATGTAATTTGGGACTTTAATTATGTTTGCAAAACTTTAACTTTTCCCTATGGCCTAATCATAGGTGTGATATCTATCATGCATCTAGGTCAAGTTGCATTAAGTGAAAGAATGAAGCTGGACAAGCTTCTATGGACTAGAAGTATTCAGTTCTGAGGCTACACTGGAGATAGATGTTTTGCAACTGGAATGGTCAGAATGGGGAAAGCACTAGGAAAAAAGTCAAAGTGATAGATGGACTGGAGATATTTATCTGGAAGAAAACTAAGGGAGGTTGTGTGTTGACTTTCTGTCACTGTGGCAAAATACCTGAGAAAAATCTACCTAAAGGAGAAAATGTTTATATTGGTTTACTGCTTTGGTCCACGAGGCCCAGTTAGTTGCCCCCATTGCTTTTGGGCCTGTGGTCAGATACCACATCCTGGAAGGGAGAACATGGTAGAACAAAACTCCACATCTCATGGAAGCTGAAAAATGAAGAAAGAGAAGGAAAGAGCTGGAGCACCAATATTCCTTTCAAGGGCACACCCCCAATGACCTAACTTCCTTCCAGTAGGCCCCACCTTCTAAAAGTTCCAACACCTCCCAGTAGCACCACAGCATGGCAAATAAACCTTCAGCATATGAAACTTTTAAAGAACATTTAAGATCCAAGCCCTAATAGGTTAAAAGAGTTGTCTTCAAATATTTGAAGGAGAAATTTGGCATCGTGGTTTTTGATCTTCTGAGGAGGGCGATTTTGGCCGTCCTTTAGACATCCTGATGCCCAGCTCTGGTGCCTAGCTCTGGTGCCCACCTGCTGCCTTCCATCCAGGCTCTCCCATTTGAGTTGCAAATGTTTAAATGTCAGAGGAATACAGCCCATGCACACCTTTTAGCACATTGTGAACACTCTAAATAGTCAGTGACCAGCAGAAATTCAGGGTACCTGAAGCTTTCCTAAGTTACTGTTCTCAAGCCGACAGCAGACAGCCTGCCTGGAGTAAGAGTATAGGCATGGTATATTTAGAAAGTAAAGGCTATATGCCAAAGTGCAAAAGTACTAATGGTCACATTATCAGCTGTATGGTACCTGAGATATCAGTTGACATTTAGCTGTCCCTTTTCCATCGCATTCATGTAAAATCTTTTGCATGTGTCTGTTTTTCCAGGGATGCAGCATGGTGGAACTGAAGGCTCTGAGCTCAGACAGGTTTCAAATGCCAGGTCTGCTATGGACTCCCTGACCCCTGGAAATTTATTCCATATTACGAAGTCCATTTCCTTATTAAATGGAAATGGCTTTTCGTTCTAAAGGATTATTATGAAAAACTAATAACATAGAAAAGATAATGCACATAGTACTTCATAAATAACATTTCTTCTACTTTCTGAAAATTGGTGCTGAAGTAATTGGACAAGAATTCTTGAACTTTAGAATTAAATTGGTTTTAGCTTTATCATAAAATCAGTAGTAGTGCATGGTGAAATTCTGCCAAGCAAAATTTGCTAGGGATCAAGACAGTGAAGGGACTGACTTTTACATGGTGCCTCCTGTCTACTGGCATAGTCTAAATATTTTATCCATTTATATCAACTAATTCTAACTTTTAAAAGATTTACTTATTTATTTTACAAAATAAGGAATTATGGCATCATAATGGCCCCAAATGACACAGTAACCAAAGTAGAATTTGAGCTCATGCACATTTATTGCCATGTTTCACCCACTAAAACAAGCTATGCTAGGTTTGTCAACAGTTTTGTCAACACCTTGATTTGTATTGAAACATTCCTCTCCACCTTCACCTCCCTGCAGGCAAACTTTGTTCTCCCTTATGTCTCCAATATAGCTTAAAATTACTATTCATAGCATTATAATAGCTAATATTTGTCAGATGCTTGCCCATGTACCAGGGACTGAACTTTGTAAATTTTTTTTTGAATTGTTTAATTTCTACATTGCATCACAATTGTCCCCGTGAATATTTCCATTTACTGTTGAGAAAAAGTAAACTCAGAAAGATTGAATACTTTGCTCCAGTTCTCAGAGCTGGTCGGTGTAGAGTCCAATATTTCCATCTCAGAGCATCCTTACAACCATGACCCTTAGAAGGGATTTTATAACTAGTAATTGCAGTTATAAGCTTTAAAAAAAAAAAAAGTCTGTGGTGATCAAAAACAAAAGTAAGATTATTTTGCTCCCTTTGAGGAAAAAACGGAGCACTGGAAAGACATATCACTTGAGTATGGGAAAAAATTAAGCTGTGGCTTTTCTGTGAGCCAATTCTTTCCTGGCAGTATCTTGGACTAAAACCAACTATAGCAAGAGTTTTCTGTTTCAATATGAGCGGCAGGCTCACTCCCCCTCTCCCACCCCATGCTTCCCCCTCTCTCTCTTTGCTTTGCCTTGTTAATTTTATGCCCTACCCACGCGGGCTTCCGTGCTTCTGGGTCCCAGGTCTGGAGTGACCACCGCTGGCCAGGAGGCAGATCCCTCAGAAGCTGAAGCCAGGCTCCCTCTGCCTGAGGTGGGGCAAGCAGCGGGCTGTGGTGGCGGCACAGCTGTGATGTGGAGGCAGCTGCCTTGGAATGGGAAAGACGTGTGAAATGTGGGGGTTTGAGACCCATGGGAGAACGGTTTCTCTCCCTTCTTTTTGTTTTCCCTTGAAAGTCATGAATCAGCCTCTATTCCCCGCCCCTCCCCCAAAGCCGCCTTGTTCCCTCCCTCTCTGCACTTCTTGTCGCATGCCTGCATTCTTTGTACACAATACTATCCTAATATTTCTCTTTTCTGCAGGCAGGAAATGAGAAGTCCATTTTTTTTTTTTTTTTTTTAGGGCCATTCAGGAAGTCATCCAGAGTTATAATGGCCCATTATCTAATGGTCAGAGTTTACTTAGGCTTTCACTACTTCCACTGCCCACTTGAAACAAGGGAAAATATTTCCCCCCGCGGCCATGAGTGTGCTATTTAGAACTGACCACAGCAGGGACAGTGCTCCAGCTCGTTTCCCATCCAGAGCCAAGGCTGGCAAAGCCTGGTTTCAGCACTCGATGTTCTTGCATCTCCCTTTTAAGAAGTTTCTCAACAAGTTTTTAAAAATCTGTGTTCTTCGCATGTGCTCACAATGCCTTTGTTTGACCTAGCATTTCTCATCCCAGCAGCAGTGGCACTTAATGAAAATGCATGTTCTTGGGCCCTCCTTGGTACCTACTACAGTAGGATAGGTTTTAGAAATGTGCATTCCAACAATCTTATTCTGAGCACCTAAGAAAGGAAGAGCCATCCTATGATAGATTGCGTGTAAAAAAAAATCCAAAAGGTATGGAAAAATATGTTTTGTTGGCACCAAGGATTTAGTTCTTAGAAATAATATTAACAAGATCAAACTTTGAAGGGAAAATAAACACAGCCCGCATTTTCTCACATGCTCTTTGTGAAGTTGTGACACGCTAGAAACTTCCCTATGGAGGTTATTAGGGCATGAACACCCATGCGCCCAATTCAAACCCAGCCCTATTAGGCACCTCTCACCCAGGATGTACCATGGGCTGATATGAGTCAAGCTTCCAGGAGACTGCAGGTGAGCAGAGGAGTGTTCCAGAACCTGATGAGCAATGGCCTCCACTCCCTCCTCTCCTCTTTTCCTCTTTGTGTTATGTGAAGTGTGTGTGTGTGTGTGTGTGTGTGTTGATGATAGCTGATTCAGATGGGCTCACAGAGAAGGTAGGAGAGGGAAATGATATTTCCTTCTTCAAATTCTGATCAAATGCAGGATTTTCAACACACACATACACATACACACACACACGCACTCATCATCATCATCATTATCCTTCTAATTTCTTGGTATCTCCCACACTCACCCCACTGCCCATTTCTCTCCCCTCTGGACAAAGAGTCCCCACAAACCTTGAGGTACTTAGAAAAGAACAAAGTGGTTCAGGTCCCCAGAATCTGAGAAGAAATCATGTTTTTATTTCACCCATATTCCACTTCAACTTGCCTCTGAACTGAGGGTAGGATGGGATTGGGGAGGTACCCTTTGCATAGAAGACCTCATGAAAAAGTCTGCAATCTAGAATGTAAAACATGCAGAAAATGTTGGTAAGATTCTGCCCGAGGCAGAACACAGGTATATCCAGGGCAGTCAGTAGAAATATGACATCATAATCCACAGTTCCCTACCGTGAGGCTTTTCTAATAAAGCCTCAGTCACACTTCTGGTTGTTCAGATTACACAGGGGTAATTTCAGAGTAATTTTAAAGCCAACTGCCAGGCATCTGCACTTGCAAATTAAATGCCTGGCACATGATTGTGTGAAGGTAATAGTTTATTACAATACAAATTACAGGGGCGTTCCTGCGGGCATGCGACCTTTACAGTCATCTCTTGACTTTCCCTATGATTACCAGGGGAGCCACCTTCTTTCTGCTAATGGGACCTTAGCCTTGTTATCATCTCCATTTCTCCTGACACTGTTTTCTTTTTTAAATGAAAGGCCTTTGCGATGAAACTAAAATGTTATCTGTCTCACTTCTTTGCCTTTGGCTATGAAAACATCTAGCTCTGGAAATTGCTCAGCTTGCCTTCTTGTCCCTCCATTCTTGCTCACTCACACTACTCCCATTTACTTTCCCCCTCTGTCTCCATTTACTTATTTGGCTGCATTTTAATTACATGACATGAAAATGCCTCTTGTTTGTAAAAAGTTCAATCATTGCATAAAACTAGAGCAAAAAGCAAGAGTCATGCTTTGGGTTCCCCTTTTCCTGGCCAGGAATGAGGAGGCATCCTTCCAGATTTTTTTCTTTGTGTTTTATATTCAAATATATTTGTATATATACAAATTGTTTAAGTTCTATATTTTTATACATATGATGCATTCCTATGGTACATAATATTTGGCCAATTTTCTTTTTCAAAACTTCATTTCACTTGAGAGTTTTCCAAATTTCAGCATGTATAAATTGGTTCATTTGTGTAACTGCCTCACTCTCCGCGCAGCTGTCACTAATGAACATTTAGGTCCTCTGGATTTTTTAGCTGGTGCACTAAACACTGCAGTTGACTGTGGTTAATTCACGCTCCTCTGCGCACATGCAGGTGGAGCTTGCAGGGGAGAGATCTGGAAAGGAAGGGAGGTGCTGATTAAATGGAATTTGAAATAAATTTTGTTATAATTCTTAGTTTTTCACAATTATTGTCCTACACATCCAGAATCCAGAATCATTAAGAATTTTTCTTCCATGTTTGTCCTGACATTTCTTAACTATTTTAAAGCTGACTATGTCCTATCTAAGAAATCATGTCATTTCACCCTCCGTCTTTCATACTGTATATCTCTAAAACTTTTATTATCATCCCACTTAAAAAATTAGTCACACATCTCATGTCACCTATCATCTAGTTCTCTGAAATGTACCCACTTGTCTTAAAAATGTCTTTTTACTGGTTGTTTGTTTGAATTGTGATCCAAAATTTAGGCCCACACTTCACCTTTCATTGATGTGTTGGAGCCAGTGTTCCTTGACACTGGATTGGCCTCCCCGTGACTGGTTGTGCAGGCTTCCCTATTCCTGTCAACTATAGTTGCTCTAAGGATTCCTTCTGTCCAGACACAGCTCTGTGAGCCTTGCTTCCTCATGGACAATAATGCTCTATGCTTTGTGTTGGGTCAGGGGTTGATTATGCATTTTCAGTTCTAACAATTATGACTTTTTTTGTCTGTTATTTTATAAAACATTTCAAAAGTGCAAACATTTCAAAGGTGCAAATAGGTCTTGTTAGCTAATGAAAACCAAACACAAAGCCCAAAATACAAAAAAACTGCCAGAACAAGGAGGCATCATTACTAAGGCCACTCAGCCAGGAAGATCCCATTTGGGTTGGGATCCTTTCTAAGCCCTTACTGTTTACACTCACAAGAGGCATTTTCTCAGTGTCCCATTTGCAAGTTTTCATGAATTAGCAATTTTACTTAATATTCAAAAATAATAACTAAGTTGAAGATCAAATGTAACCTGAAAGCATTTTAAAAAGTATGAAGCATATAATTTGCTAAAACCATTAATCTTAGAACTTGAAAGATTCTTAAAAAAAAAAAAAATGCACATGCCAAACCCTGGTTAAAAGTGTAAGCTTCGTGAGGTTTGAGGTGCTAAGAACTGACAAGGCTGGTGTGTTGCAAGTCCTTTGTAACTGTTAGAATTTTAATAAAGATCTTTTTAAAAATATCTTTCTTTAAAAAACAATCTTACTGGCTTAAGGATTGAAGCCAGTACAATGGGAAATACTCCTAGTTGTGGGAGAAATCTTCATTTTAATTCTGAAGAACGGAAAAATCCATTTTGATTTTCAAGGATCCAACTTCTAGTTGGGTATTTTGTAAACTAAAATGTGATTTTGTTTGTTTCAAGATTCCTAAGGTTGTTCTACGGTGAGACTCTTTTAGCACTTGGCCATGACGTCACTTGAACTCAGCAACACAAATAGATAAATTCTGTCCCTAAGAGGTTCTGTCAACCAAGATCACCAACTTAGTAAGGGACAGAGACAATATATTTTGACCCTGGCTTCTAATTTAAACACCATTGTTCTTTCTGCAATAGCACATTCTAAAGGAGGATAACCTCAACTTTGCAAAATGAGCCTTTTGAGTTAAAATCATTAGCAATGTTAGGGGAAGAGTTACAATGATAGAATATTATAAATTAGTCTTTCTCCTGTAATTATCAGGGGTAAAACATGATTAAAATACAAGTAAAAAAAAAAAA